TGTGTCTTACCATTATAAATCTATTATAGTATCTTTCTTCCATACACCTCCTATCAAAAGCTTTTCACAGAAATCCTGAGAGGTTTTCTGGAGATACCCTTGTCTTTCTCTCCTCCACTTTAGTCCGCATCATCATTGGCTCTTGTGTTACATACATGGTTTCTTTGTTGTTGGGACCTTATAGGTCATGATGCTGTATTGGCTTGGGTCTGTTTAAACTCAACATATCTTAGCGGTTTTCTTATGGCCCCATTTCTGAAATGTTTCATTTTTGATATGGTCCCAGAATCTCTAGAGCCTTGGGTGACATCGTTACCACAACAATCCACCTTTACGAATATCGTGGCCCATTTGTTGCAGTTAGAGCCTCATTACCATCTTCCATCATTCCCCTTCCCAGCTCCTACCCATCCCTTCTACTCGGGGTACTTCTTCTCGTTGATTTCCAAGATGATGCACCCACCACCACCAGTAAGTGTGTATCCTATGTACAGATAAATTGGTACAAGTCATGTCTTATGTATGGATAAAATGAGAAATATGTACATCATGTACGAGTAACTTGACACGAGTTTTAAGTTGTTATGCAGTGTTATTACAACTTAGGCTTACCTAATGAGTAATCATTATGTAATGATCTCGTTTTTATCTTAAGATGATAGAGGACTCTCCTTACATAAATAAACTGCCTATGATCTCTTTGTAAGGAAACATCTGTGACTACCCAGTGGGTTCAGGTTCAGTGGGAGCTCAGTTGTTTGCGTTTCTTCATCACTGGCATTCCTTCATCAATGATCAATGGGTGCTACAAAGGATTCATTGTCAGTTTTTTCCCCACCTTCTACCTCTCCTTACCCCATTGTCTTCCGTCTTCCTCAAGATTCCGTGACCAGCAGCATCAGTCAAAGTCAGTTTGGCAACTGCTCTTGCAGTGGGCCATCGAACATGTTTCCCGTCCTTCCCAGGGTTAGTATTCCCACCTTTTCATTGTCCCCAAGAAAACCGGGGATTGGCGGCCAGTAATCGATTTATCCTGCCTCAACTGCTTCATTTCACTACCCAGGTTCACCATGGAGTCTTTTCTAACCCTGAGATGGGTATTTTCTCTGGGGTTGTGGATGACCAAAATGGATGTCTCCAACACTTACGTACATATACCGATATCACCTCAGTCTCGTCCTTATCTTCGGTTTGTCCATCTCAGGATGGTTTATAAATTTGGGGCCCTCTTCTTAAAACTTTCCTCGCTACCTTACGTATTTTGCCGAGTAGTCTGAGCTTTTGATCGACATCTCCATACTCTGGGCATGCAATTTCATTATTGCATAGACAACTGGCTTCTTCTGGCTCATTCTGAACAGGAATCAGCCAATCATACTTTGCAGCTCCTTTCTATGGTGGCTCAGGTGGACTGGTTTATCAAATTGGAGAAGTCCTTCCTCAGACCCACTCAATATCTTATCCATTTATGGATCTTTTTCACCACTCCTATCAGTCGGGCCCAGCCTTCTCCTTTATGACTACATTCAATGGAACTTTTGGTTCGCCACGCCCTCTCAGCTCAGTCACTTCCTGTTTGTGAGGTTCCATCACTTTTGAGGGTGTGATCTTCAATGACATCACTGGTCCCCATTGGTCATGTCCATATGAGATCCCTTCAGTGGGCACTTCACAATTGATGGAACCTTGCTCGGGATTCTCTTTCCACCCCATTATCCTTCCTTTTTCTCTGCAAGATGATCTGATTTGGTGGTTGGACAAAACCCATACATCCCACGTTCAGATCTACATCTTTTTCACGGATGCTTCCCTTCGGGGATGGGGGCATAGGTCAATCATCAGGAGGCTTCAGGTCATTGGTCTGTAGAAAAAAGCATATGTAGAAATATGTTGGGCATTGCATCACTTCCTTCTTCTCACCCAACATTGTCTGGTGATGGTTCATTTAGACAATTCTACGGTGGTGGCACAGATCAACCACCAAGGGGCACCCAGTCCAGAGATCTCTGTTTTTGGACAATCGATCTCTTAACATCACATTCATCTTATTGTATGTCATATCCGCTCCACTTCTTGTTGGGTCCTCCTAATTGCTCCTTATTGACCTGCTCAGCTTTGATTTCCATGGTTACAGCAACTGATCCTCTTCCCTCCTGTCCCTCTTCCACTTTCTTCTTACCTTCTTCATCAACCTTGGTCACATGTGTTACAACTCACCCTTCACATCCTGCATTTTCATGCCACCTATCTTGTCCTTTATCCAGATTGTTCCCTTCTCCCAAAGACCTCAGCAGCTCGGGAGGGTGGTTTCTCTTTTTCTTCCATTTCCCATCTTTACCCATGTCTGGTTCCAGATAGGCTTCTGTGCCCTGTCCAGGCTATTCGTTATTATATTGCCTGTACTGCTTTCATCCAGAGTACACATTCCAGATTCTTTATCCCATGGCAATCCTCCTCCCTTTGTATTTTTTCACCTTCTACCCTTATCAATTGGGTCCATCTTTTGGTTCGATTGGCCTGTTCCTCCCTATCTTCTTCTTCCTGGAATTTGTTCCAGGTGTCCTCCCATATGATCTGACACCTCACTTTTTCCCTTGCTTCTCATCTTCGTCATCCAGTGGAGGAGATTCTGTAGTCAGGCATGTGGACCACATCCAGTACACTTATCCACCACTATCTCCATCATGTTTTCTCTTAGTCTAGGTCTCGTCTACCACCTGTTGCCATTCTTTAGGCTTCAGCATGACTCTAACTGATAAGTTTTCATTATTTTCAGTGGCCTGTCTCTATTTCTTTATCCCATGGATCCTGCTCTTTGGCAAGTAGTGCCTGACCAGGTATTTTTTAATGCAAAATCTGCACTGCCTAGCCATGTTGACTTGTGCTTTATCTTCCATGGCTTTGCATGCTCACCATTGAGATGGGGTGTTTCACAAGATCCCTTGTAGGTACATTACCTCATGATATTTTGCTTCATGAGCATGCCTGTCCTGGACTGTACCACACATGTTGATGATGTTCCTCTGGACTCTCCACCGCATTGTCACCCTCCTTTCTTCAAGTGGAGTATGGGATTCCTTACCACTTTCCAGTTCCAAGCCACTGGGGTGATTGACCATGAAGGGACCTTGCTGAATGAGTTCCACTCAATAACCATTCAGTTACAGAGTAGGGCAGTGGTGTTCTGCGAGTGTAGATGAAGTGATATCCTCCTATTTCCAATAACCAATGACAATGGAGTAAAACGTCAGAATGCTGTTTACCCTTCAATTGGGAGCCCTCATCCTACCTTCATGTGGATGTCTGTATCCCACAGGCAGATTTTGGATTTAGTGTGAACTGATCAACATAAGTCCTCACACAGGTTTAAGATGTGTATCTACCTCCCTTGATTTCCTCCATCTCTGTTATCAGTCACAGTGGTGGTATGTGGGATTGTTCTGGTTCTGTTCTTGGCAATCCCTCGTCCTCTCTTCTTATGGGGATGTTATTGCCATTTGGATGGTCCCAGCCTGTTTCACGGTTGGGGGAGTTGATTGCATGTGATAGATATCCTTTTGATATTGGATGTCAAGTTCCCAGATTGATAGCTCAGAACTAATCCTTGTATCATACCCGAGAATCAGAGTGGTTCTCAATCCCCAAGTTCTTGGTTTTGAGGTGAAGATGTTATGATCCTCATGCAGAAGTTGGTACCCGGGTTTTGGATATAGTTGACTTACCGAGTATGGTCCACTGCGCCCTAGCCACTCTACACCTAGGGGTGCATCTTTTGTTTGCCCAACTATTTCATTGTGGGATTGAGTTACAGTCTATTTCTATGGTTAGGATCACTTTCCTGCCATCATCTCTCCCACTCAGATGTACTCCTCTCTTTTCTGTCCTTATATCTTACACATTGTACAGTTGGGTGAAGAGTATACCTGGCTCAGAAGTGGTGCGGTTCCCCTCTTCTGATCTTTGGATCTGAATCTCTCAATTCCAGGGGTATCCTTGAGATGCTTTCAGGGGGTACTTCTGTCATTCCCTCACACTGGTCCCTCCTTCTTATAAATGTGGGATCCCAGCTAATTCTGTGAGAGGAGATAAGTACCATATCACAAGTTATAATTTTCCTATACTGAAAATGTATTCCCGTCAGGTACTTACCTCCTCTCACACTTTCCATTCTTCTTCCCCACATTTCTCTGGTACTGACATCTTCTGCTAAACTTTGAAGTGATAGTTTGGTAGAGGAGTGTAGAAGGAGTCAAATGTGGCACATGAGCATGTCATGCTCCTACTGAAGGGGAGGTGATGCATCATTATTTGCATGAGAGACATGTTGAAATCCTGCAATTTCAATAGGGGGAGTGGAAGGCTTGTGGCATGTGATAGTTTGGTAGAGGAGTGTAGAAGGAGTCAAATGTGTCACATGAGCATGTCGTGCTCCTACTGAAGGGGAGGTGATGCATCATTATTTGCATGAGAGACATGTTGGAATCCTGCAATTCCAATAGGGGGAGTGGAAGGCTTGTGGCATGCATAAAGAAAAAGTTTGCATATAGAGGGCAGAACTGAATGATAATTGTTAATCTTGTAAGGTAAGTAAGGAAGTAAGTATGTATTGGAAATACATTGTCAGTATAGGCAAATTATAACTTTAAACTTTCTATAGCACCAAATTGCAAATTTTTTTTATACTAATCATATGATTTTGAGTTTGAGAATACATAGCAAAGTAACAATTTAGAGGAAATATTTAATTTAATTTGCCTCTTAGATGTCACAGAGTGTTCTTTACCTGTTATGGGAAAATAATGATCTTAACTTGAAAATAATATTACTGAATTAATGCTTTGCCATATGTACATATCTCCAAGGACGACATTGTATTTTCTAGCTTTGTTTGTTGGAGCTTTCTGAAAGCACACAATGCCAGTATATTTTACTAGTACTGTATATTGTACCTTCAATTCAAGACAATTTTTAACTGTTTTAATAAGATATTACAGTGAAATTAAGTTTTATACATTTGACATATTATTTGTTTTTATTGTAGGTCTTAAAACTCTATGCATGGGAAATTCCATTCAGAAAGCACATCTTAAATATACGAAATAAGGAGGTGAAACTTATTAAAATGTTCTTATATTTGAATGCTGTAATAGGTTTTCTTTGGAATTGTGCACCATTCATGGTAAGGCTCTCCAAAAGTGTATTATAACTTGTTTTAGTCATCTAAGATGTTAAATTTAGAACACAGCCAATTTAATACTTGACAATGAGAAATTGATGGATGGTTGAGTGTTACTAGAATGAAGAAATCTTGTGTGTGTGTGTATATGTATATATATATAATATCACATTTGTAAAGCAATTATTTAAGCTAGTATCTGAATATATATACATGGGCTTTTAAATAAAAAACATTTTGGTTCCACAGGTTTACTTCATACACTGTACACATACATATATTACTGTGTACGACACCTGTTACATATCAGACCTGTCTTAGATATATGGTAAATCATCAATGTTGTTAAAGTTCACCTGCATTTATGTTTATGAATTGTTTGTGGAAAATTGATCAGTATCTAAATGTTTTTAGTATTTTTTTTCAAATTATCTGAAATTCAAATATTTTCATAAACTTAATAGTGAGTATATATATCTTCAGGTCAAACTACAATTTTATTCATAAGAGAATTATATATGTTCTATTTCTATATTTTCTATATTATTTTTTGTGTGTACCAGAACTTGTTACAGAATATATTGGCTTTTTCCTACTTTATAAGTGCATACACAGGTTTATCAAATAATTACAACTTTGATACACCTTATAAGCTGTTATATGCATAATAGTCATGATTAGTAAAGAGACAATTTTAATCTTGTACTTAAACTGAAAGTTTTATCAATTATTTCAATTCCAAGTACAAACTATAAATAATTTTTAAGTCTTACTGGATACAGTTTTCATCTTTTGTAGATTAAAGTAAAAAATTTCAGATGCATAGTTTCTGCTGTTCTTCACACGTGTTGCCATCCTCATATCATCTTTATTCATTGCCAAGTCTTCTGCAGTTTCTTTCTCATTCATGTCTTTTTTTAATCCCATCTCTTCAATGCTTTACTGGCCTACTCTGTCTTCTCTTGCCAAATACTGGCAGCTCTAATACTCTCTTTATTGCTTGTTCTTCTTCTCTTCTTGTCACATGATCAAACCACCTTAGCCACACTTCTCTTGCCTTTTCCGCTATTCCACAAACTCCTCCTTCCACTTCCTTATCCATTCCCATCTCTTTCAGTCACATTCCCAACAGCCATCTCAGTAGTCTCATATCTGTTCTTATCAACAAGCCTTCTTCTTCTTTAGGGTCCAGGTCTCAGCTCCATAGAGGAGCACTAGTCTAATCATGGTCTTGTATACTTTGGCTTTTAGTACTCTTGGCTTCTTCCTTCCATTTCTTCCAACCTGCCTGGATTCTATCTCTCACAGCTTCCTCATTTCGTCCATCACTTTGGATTGTGTTTCCCAAGTACCTCAATTCTTCTACCTGTTCTATTTACATTTGTGATTTTAACCTTTTTCTTCTTATCTCTTCCACTCATCATGACCGTTTTTCTGGCATTCACTTTCAAGCCTCTTATTCCCCATTTAACTTCCATTTGTAACTCTAGCTCACATTCTGTTGTTAGTATAAGGTCATTAGCAAATAATAGTTTCCACAGGGGTCCCGGTCCCTTAAGGCACTCCTTACTCAATGACAATGACAAATAGCAGGGGCTAATGGCTGACCCTTGGTGCAGCCCATCATTCATTTCAAATTTGTTTGCATCTCCATATACTGTTTTCACAATTGTTGTTGCTCATTCATAAGTGACTCTCTGTTGGATATACAAGACTGTTCAGCTTAAGAGTTATTATTTAGTGATTTAATACTTAATGATTATGTAGCTTTCATAACAAGAGTTTTAAACGTTAATTATTTTAAAAGTGACAGTTATGACAAGTTTTGTTACGTATCTCTATGAGTCGTACATTGTGTATGTAGTTTAATTATTGTACTAGGCTTTTGTAAAATTGATGACATCATCTTACTCAAAGCTTCTATGTTTTCCCATTATGTTTGATATTATTGTTACTAGAGGGCTAGATATTTTTTTTATTTTTCTGTCGTGTGTTATAAATACATGCAGATAAAGAGAGCAATTAAGTAAGTTAGACTGCATGATTGACAGTTTAGCCATAATGGGTGATTTCTAAAGTGAGTATCACAGCTTGTATTGTAACAACAGAGATAAAGAAGAAGAATTTGTTTCGTCAAAGGGTGTTCTGAAGTAATTGAACCTGCCTGGGTGGACTTTGATGAAAAATATACAATTACTTAAAGATCTGGATACAAATTGGATAACCAATGGTTACAGTGGTGATTTTCAAGCAAGTTTCACAGCTTGTATCGTAACAACAGAGACCAGAAGAATAATTCATCTTGTCAGTTAGGTTCTAAAGTAATTGAACCACCCTATTTGGATGTTTGACATAAAAGAGAAATATTTAAAGCTCGGGATGCAACTGGGAAAAATAATAGTGTAATGAATTTTTGTACATAAGTTTGACTTGTTTTGAATATATTTTATTTTAAAACAAGTGGATTGTGTGCTGTTCATTTATTGTTGATATTTATTGCCAACAAGTCAATCTGGCCCTATGCAAAACTTGACACTCTCACTAGTCTAATCAGTTTTTTGGGCACTCCTTTCTTTTGGAGGCACCAGTATACTAATTCTCGTGGCACCCTATCATATACTTTCTCCAAATCTACAAGTGCAGGGTATAACTTCTTGTTTCCTTCAAGGTACTTTTTCTGCAACTGGCACAGAATGAAGATTGCATCTGTTGTTCCTCTCCCAGGCTGAAACCCAAAATGTATTTTGTCTATGTCTAAGAAATCCCTCATTCTCTTTTTCAGCGTTTTTTCCCTTACTTTCAACAGATGCTCCACCAGTTTTATTCCTCTGTAGTTTTCACATGCAAAAGCATCTCCCTTCTGCTTGTATATGGGTATCAATAGGCTCTTTCTCCATTCTGCAGGGATCTGCTCTTCCTTCCAGATATTTTTAAACAGATACCATATATACTCAACTCCATCATCTAGTGTCTTGACTATCTCATTGACAATCTTTGGACCTTCTGCCTTGCCTGTCTTTATTTTTCTGACTGCTTCTTTGACCTCCTCTCTATTGATATCCAGTACTGGGCCTGCTGTTGGACGTGTCTCCTTCAATTCTTCTGCCTCATATGGTGTTAAATAGTTCCACGTTGTGCAGATTCCCTCTCTGTATTACTGCCTTTTCATTCATCAGGAGTTTCCCTTCTTTGTCCTTAATTACTTTGACCATTATGGTGCCTCTCTTTGCCATTTCCCTTTGCTTGGCTATTCTGTATACCTTCTCCTCTTCTGATATCTCCATGTTGTCATATGAATTATTAATTGACTCATTCTTCATCACTGCTACCACTTTCTTCACCTGCTATTTTACTTTCTTTTACATTCTTGAATAGTTGTCCTTCTTTATCAGCCATTCATTAGAGGCTTTTTTCTTTTCCTTGATGGTTTGCTGTACTACATTTTTTGCTCCACCAATATGCTTCCTTCTTCTCGGGTGCTCGTCCTTTTGTTTTGCTGCAAATGATTTCTGCCTCTTGAATCAGGCATTTCTTCAGTACTTTTCAGTAACTCTCTATAATGCCATCAGTATTTTGGACCTCCTGCATCCTACATTTCACTGCCTCTGCATTTCTCTTGGTTTTTCATATTCTAGCTTACACACTTTAATCTTCTCAATTCCTTTCTTCTTTTTATTCTCGTTCCTCACATTGTCTGTTTCCTAGTA